ATAACAAATAACAAATAACAAATAACAAATAACAAATAAATAAATAATAATCTGTATGATTGATTACAATTAAATAGTTTAAAGAAAGAAAAAAGTATGATGAATAAAATTTAAGTAAGACAGTTTGTTTTACTTAAATGTATTTTCTTGTAATTAGATAATAAATAAACTAATAATAATTATTATTATTCCAATAAATTCGCCAACATATTTGATATATTCAAGCCATTTTTGTTTTTGACAAAATAAAATAAGAAAAAAGGGAAAACCTAAGTGCGTTCAATTTTACCGTCTATTGGTACAAATAAATTGTTAAATAGAAACATGTGTTAAACAAAAAGTCATACTTAGCTGTAACTTGCTTCTATAATGCTTTACTTTTATGTATGACTTATTACCTGTACTTTCACCATATACCATATTACATAATACCACTTACGTGCACATTACCTTTACCATACTATGCACGTAACAACTCATTTAAGTGTACATTATACTTCCAAATTGATGTCAAGTGTGTTATGGCCTGTCATAATCATTGTTATAATGCTTGTTTGATTAGCTGTGATTGATATTACTTTGCAAAGAAAAAAATGGCTGCCATTTATTTGGTTTACAAAATGTAATTTAAATAAAGGTGATAAAAATGTTCAGATAGAATATTTAAAATTGATCCAATCATTCTTGACATAAATTATTGTTATAAATTGACCATCAAGGGGTGTTCTAATAACTCTCAAATATTCATGAAGGACATTTTCAAAATTTCTGCAGTAGCAATAAACCTTAGTATTATTATTGTTATTATTATTATTTTCGACTGAGTGGAGTAAAATGATTAAAATACATATAGGAAGGGGTAATTTGTGAAATCGCTCCACACATCTCAGCAATAATTGACAAAGTCTGAAAGAGTTGAAGAAGATGATAGAAAAGTGAAATGGGTGAGGTTGAGGTGAGATATGTTCTGGTAGATCGAAATTACAGTAATTGTTCATTATTACATATTCCCCGTGCATTCATATCGTTAATTATTGGTAAATAGTTATTATATTATTACTATTACTATGATTATTATCATTTTTCGCAATTTTAAAACTCTCAGTAAAAACCAATTATCAATGATCAATGGTTTGGTAATTATAATCCCATTATCAGAACAAATTCTATTGCTAGCGAATGAATATTGTTGGCAGGTCTATTGATGAATGAGCAAAAATGAATGGAAAATATTTGAATAATGAAAATACAGTGATGAGGTAAAACTGGCCAAATCAAACAAACTATTGAAGATGAATAAAAGGAAGCAAAGAGATTGACATGAAATGAATCTTTTTTTTAAACAAATTCTTAGTCATATGTTTTTTTAACTTTAGTAAGCTTTAGCAGTCTAATATTAATTGGACAAATTTTTAATCAGATAAAATCTCTTTGAGCAGTACATCATTTTTTGAAAAACGGAATGCTTGAATTTAAACAATCTTTGTAAAATTTTAAATTTGTTTTGAGAATGTGTCAGCGATATGTAAAAAATATGGAAAGACAGAGTAGAATAAGGATCAGAAGAGATATGCAAAAAGGAATTTGAGAAAACTTCGCTCATATAACCTAAAATTGCATCTACAAAAAAAAAACTGTGCAACAATTTATTTGTATAGTTTTTCCAGATAAAGAACAAAAATCAGTAAGAAATAAACAAGAGACGAGATAATAGCTACCCAGAGATCATATTAGCTGATTTTTACAAGGCTTTTGTATTTGTTCTTTCTTCGCTTTTTCCTCACATTCACATGAACTGTAGACGAAAATTTTTAATATTTTTAAAGACTCAAAAAAAGATACAATAAAAGAAGTATTTGAAGCTCATATTAAACAGTGAATTAACAATCAGTAAAATCAAATACTCAATATCAATATCTGTTAAGCAAATTAGAAAACTAATGTCAGAATAAAAGTTAGTTGAGAAGTTCTAAATAAGTTATGAACACAGCGTTATATACTTAAGGAATGCCTAAAGTTTTTCTGCACATGAAATGGAGTTTCGCAAAATAATTCTGAAAAAAAAAGAAACAATTAGTAGAAATCAATAAACAATAAATCCATGCTTTCAAGCGCAATTTAATGATGCTTTCAATTTCTGTCGTTTCTGATACAGTGTAAAAAGAAGGTCACGAGCGGCTACTGGGACACAGCCATAATTGATACCATCAAACCGAAACCTTAAATTTTCATAAATTCGATTTCGAACTCTTCATTGTATGGTTTTAACATATTTCTTTTCCTAATGACACAAACAAAAAAACGAATAACGCTGATACTGCGATAAAACAAGTTTAACTGTGCAAAGTATTAAATAAATAGACTAAACATTTTTTCCAATTTTATAAAGTTTCAAATTTATTATCAATGACAACCTCTCCTCACGATCATCTTCTTTAAAAACAAAAATTTCTGGATCGTTAGAGGATATTCGCAATTCCAGAGCGATTTTTGAATTGTTTAAAATGATGCGCGTTGGAATTTGTATGCCCTAAACGATGAGACAAAAATTAAAAATTAATATTTTCTCCTCAATGAATTCATTTTCCGTATAAATGGTCCGACCCCTTTTGGCATAATTAATAATGTGCTTAATAAAAACTGATTGATACTGTGATAAACTTACATTTTTTTTGAACTGACCGCGCAAGATATACTCTCCTTCCGCAAGCATTTGAGGTCGATGGCGAGGCTAAATATTAAAAACAAGTGTAGATTTAAAAATATCGAATTCAAAAAAAAAAAAAATTAAATATCGATGAGAATAGAGGAACGTACCAATTGCAGATTTTCAGGTGATGAGCAACTTGCTCCTCTGGTTTTCGGAATAATTTTGAAACCATTATTTGAATTCTAAAACAAGAATCCAAACCTCTTGCCAACTTTTGAGGAAGCTTCAATAGTATAAACAAATCAAAAAAAATCATTCAAAAAAAAATTTTTATCATCTCTAAATCATTAAAAGCTTTTATATTAGAAAAGTGCATGTTTTTTACAAAATACAATATAAAACATCTTAAAAAGTTATGCGTAAACATCGTTACAATTTTTATGAAATGCTGGAACAAAATATAAAGAAATTATATTAAAAAATAAATTTACCCTTGGTAACGGTGACATATTGCGAGTGCAAAGTGGTGCACGAGATTGTCTCGGTACGTAATCCGTAGATTGACACTTTTTACCTGATAATCGCTGAGTGGGACAGCTGAATCTTTCCGAGGTCATATGATTTGCTTGCTGTTTTGCCAAATTTTTTTCAGTTATTTCATTCGTAATGAATTGACTGAAATGATATTTTTAGTTGCGAAATTTATTTAAAGATTGAGAGAAAAAAATAAAAAGCAAACCTGCTATTTGAGAAGTGAAATGGAAACGATTTCACAGTTTTCAACGGCGCACTCTCTAAGAATGTTTCCACCAAAACAGCATCCTTGTGAGCACATTCGAACATGCATCTTTCTTCTGAAAATCAAAGCACAAACTTTGATTTGTATAATATACACATAATTCTATAAGCTGAAAACTCTTTTGATGGTGACATATCTACTACTATATAAAAAGTTTTGTCAATGTGTGAAACATACAGTTGTTAGGTGGCTACAATGTAAACTTAGAATGTAAGCTGAGATTTTATTATTTTTTATCTTTCAGAAAAAAATGCAGACACATCACAGTGCCGGAAGGATGGTGTGAAGTGATCAAAACTATGGTTACCAAAAATAATCAGAGATGGATTAGAAAAGCAACATGGAGTATGCAACAGTTACGCTGAAAATGGTTTAGTATCTCGATTTAGAAAATAGCTCAATATTTCGTGTGGTTTAGTTGTTGACCCACACCTAACAATTTCAAAGTTTGAAGAAGAAACATATAAATTCATTCTATTTAGTGAAAAAGTCTTACTACTTGATAAAGATGTGAGATCCTTATTATTTGTTGTAACAACAATCGAATCTGCGCCTTTTTTTAGCATAGCTAACCGTCCTAAAAAAACAAAAAAATCCAGACGGATAAAAAGAAAAATTTTATCTGATAAACTTCAAATTGTACTACTTCTTCCCTTCTCTCTCATTTCCCACATGACTATTAATTTTTTCATATCAAAAGTAATACCAATTCAGCAGCATTCTCAAAGTGAAACTTGATAAAATCTGAACAACGATTGTTTCAAAAACATACCATCTTGAAATTTGACTCGAAAATCGCCATTTTCCATCAGCCTAGCAGTACTATCACATGATGGCTTGAAGATAATCTTGACAACGCGTGCGCCTAACGCACTCACCTCATCCAGAATCTTTCTGTACAAGGCATAAGCAATCTCATCCACTTTATCGATTCTCTGTTGCAACTGTTTTAAACTGCAAATGAAAACTGAAAAATCGAATTGAATGGTGCAAGACCTGCGCATTTATATTCATAACTTACGAAAAATTTTCGAACACAATTTAATTAGAAAATTTAACAATTATACCTGTAATAATTACGATGGATTTTAGCATCGTCTGGAAGGGATGGTGTTTCATTATTTGTAATAAGAAAAGCACATTTGTCTGGCTGATGAAAAACTGAAAAATTCTGTTCCCCATTCGCTGTTTTTTTCACTATAGCAATCCAATTTACGAGCATTTCATCATTTATAGCGTTACTTCGATGAACTGAATGGCTTCGATCTCGAATAGTAGCTTCGTAAACAATTGTTCCATTTTTTTGAAGTGTAAACTGCAATGTGTTTAGTAACAATTGAATAACCTATACTATTGAGGTAAAATTTAAAACTCGTTGTCACGAAAATTGTTCATATTACAGCGAGATGTTCTCGATATTACAAAAATATGATGCAATTCTATATCAGATGTTTGTATTGAACTTTGTTAACCATGGATAAATTTCAACTTCTCTCTGTGGATACTTGATAGTGCACAATATGTCCATTGCTTGTGAAATGATATTTTCTAATAATAGTATAGAAATTTTCTAATAAATCGCATGTAAAACGTAAAACCAACAGTTGAAAAAAATAGTAAGGATATCGTCTCTAACACTGAATGCAATCATTTGATAACGGTAGGAATTAGTTTCAATTTACCCTTCCAGCTTTTCGTACAGTCTCCGAAGGCGCCAAACGTGATACATCAACTGGCCATATAAGTGTGGTAGTTGTTTTATTTGAATGATCACCAAAGTTGTCCTTTATCTGCTTCAAATTGGTACCAACTGGTTCAGTAGGTGCAGGTCTCCGTTTTGCATGTGATGAATGCCGTATACCATTAGGTTCGTATACGTCAATCTGCCTGTAATTGATTTGAAAAAATATTTCTACAAAAAACAAAAGATGAAAATTTTTTAAATCAACAACTACACTAAGCACATATAGAGAAGCTCGGAAAAAACAAATAGTAAATTAACGCTTCACAACACTTCATGGAAACGATGAATTTTTTCTTACCTTCCACACTTTCTTTCCAATGACTGTTGTTTGCCACAATGTGCACATTGATTCTCCAAATAAGTGCTATGCCGACAATTTGTTATGCCAGTCGATTCACCATGATAATAATCCAAAGATGGTCGTCGACGATACTCAAAAGTTTTTTTTGTTGAAAATAGATTATTAGTTATGGTACATGAACAGAAATGAATCTGCATTATACTCAAAGGATGGACTGAATTAATAAGCAAACAAAGCTTTGATAGTGACAAAATAACAAAAAATTTGCGTAATATAGCATGATAACAGAAGCAAAAACAACGAACAGGATGAGTACTTTCACCGCTTTCAAATGCAGAATCTTTAGTTATACGCCTATATCCACTAGCTGTTGGTTTCGCTGAATGTGCTCGAACAATTACTGGTGAAATATGCTAAAAATAGCAAAGAAAGTTCCCAACTCTGGATATTAGTTCTAATTTAATATCTTATTTTTGATAGGCACTCAATTAAAAGGAATTTTTATGGTATCTGAATTGTGAGACGTGGCCGATGTCCTCATTCACCAAATGATTTTGCCATAAAGAATAGGGAAGGATTAGTGTTGAAATCACGAAAGTGCAAATTCCAGCTTACCGCAGTTTGACAGTCACGATAAATGATTCTTTCTTTTGATGTTTCGCGAGATCGACTTATAGGAAGACTAAGTCCATCAACTTTCCTCATAAAGTCACTTAGTGATATGTCTTGAACGAAGTGAATTATGCGTTTGTTAAATGATGTAAATAAAAATGTGAATAACATGAAAATGACTCTGAGAAAGTGCAAATGAAATGAACCATCATAAATTTTTCCATCTGAATTAAATCAAAATTTATCCATTTAATGTTACTTGATATTAACTACTAAAATTAAGATATATTGTAATCTCCAAAAAAAAAAAAACTACCTCCGAGAGTAATACGTCTTTCTTCATTCGGATCCATCATACTTTGGATGAGAGTAGCACTTTCCAGCGAGATTGTTTCTTTGAAAGGATTCACTTCGTGATCTCGCGGAGGATCGTTTCCAGTTAGCATTAGATATAATATTCCACCCAATGAGTAGACATCTGCTTTTTGATTATAATGCCGATTGTACACCTGCCTGTAGTCTTGTATAAAATAAAACGATTTTTCCAGGTAATGAATTCGGACATCTCAATGGAGATCCAATAAGATCAAATATTAAGAGTTTTCATTTTATTTAACGTCTCTTCACACATTTAATGTCACTAGAAAACTCAACATTGCAGGGGAATTTCGAATCTCAACTTAAACACGGTAGTTATTTAACTTATAAATTTATTTCCACAAATCTGAAGACGCGAAAATTATTAAATTAATCTACAGCTAACATATCAAAAAAAATTTTATTTACTTACGGCGCAATATATCCGGGAGTTCCAAGCATTGTCCTAGCAACATCACCTTTCCGAAATTTTGTTGCGAGGCCAAAATCAGCAAGTTTCTATAATTCTTAGAATATATGTCATTGAAAAATATAGCAGCCAAAAATAAGTATGATGGAAAGTTAGCAACAAATAATCCAATGAAATAGGTTTTTTTTAACTTAACTTAATAGAATTGCACTTATCCAACACTTAAAATCTTTCAATCAGTACTATAGAGTGAATATAGTTAAGTTTAAATCTCCAAAACTTACAACAAATAATTTGTCTTCCCTGATCGATGAAATAAGGACGTTTCCAGCGGAAAGATCACGATGTATCATATTACGATCATGTATATGTTTCACTGCACTTACTAATTGACGAAGAATGTATGCCGCTGCATAATTGTTATATTAAAAAACATAGTACAAGCCTTATAAGTTCTTAAGAGTAATAAATTCCATTTCGAATCAAAAATTATGCTGAAATATAAACAATCAGCCAATAAGAACTAGTACTAGGAACATATCAAGAGTTCCAAGTTTTCTTGAAATGTCTATGAACAGACTACGCTGCTAATATTTCTAAATGAAACAGTACAAAACCTACCTGAAAAATCAGACAATCTTCCATTTTGTTTAACATAATCCCGCAATGACCGATATTTGCAGTACTCCATAATGATATACTGTGCACCATCTTCTTGAAATTGGTCATAAAATTTCACAATATTGTCATGGACAAGTCTGGATAACGCTTCTAGTTCAAATTCGACTCGAAACGTTGTTGCTTTGGTGATATCAATCTGAAATACCAGAGTAATGAACAGCCAGTTCCAGTACTATAAATTTTAGATAAATTTGAAGTAATTTTCTTGCCTTTTTTATCGCGACGTTTTTTCCGCTCCACTCCTTTCCTTTCGCAATACATCGAGCACGATAAACGACTCCAAACCCACCTCGTCCGATTTCTTCCAGATCATCGTACTCCTAGAATATGATCAGATATTTTATCGTCTTTGCGAGCTATTTTTTAAATTTGAAAATTAGATGTTATAGAACAGATCTTTTCTCGTACAGCATTCACAAAATAAGATCATTAAATAGCACTTAAGATCTTAAAACTATAGATCATTTAGAAGTTCGAAATTGTAATCGTAGCATGAACAAAACATAAAACGATGAAAACATACACGCTCCAAACGATTCATCGCAATGATTCAATTATAGCACATGAAAAAAGGAAGCAATACCTTGGTACTCTGAAAGACATATATGTCGTTTACGAGCAAACTCTGTTTTACGTCTATTAAAAATCATGGATTTCGATTTTTCCAATGGTAGAGGAAGACTTACAGAGATTGCTATGAAGATACATCGAGGCACTCAAACTAGTAAATAGGTATTTTTTGAAACATCAAGTCATTTCCGTTTGACAGAATAATTTATTCAAACAATCAGAATTAAGATTTTACCACTCAATTAAAAATCAACGAAAAATCTCTAACGATTCAATCGCTTATGACTTTCACACTCTCTAAATCCACTACTATTATATTCAGACATTTTTTATTCTCTGCTGTCTCTTCAACTATTCCCTTCTCTCCCTCAAATATTACCTCAACAACAAAAATACCACTCTTTCGTAATTTTCTCAATTTCTAACAGTACAACCCCATCTCATCACATCACGTAATCTCAAATTATGCAACCTTGTCGACGAATAAAAAAATGAATGAAAAGCCGCCTTTTTAAAATTTTGAAATTTTAATTGAACGACTCCGTATGCAAAAATTTACATCCCAGGCCTTAATTAAATGCAAGTGAAATTAGAAATCAAAATTTTGGGACAAAATTTCAAATAAACGTTACATGACGCAAATTAATCCCATCTAGGCTGTTTTTTTTACTGCTTTAGGCTATTTTTTTTTACGAGAGTTCTCTCTTCTAGCTTTCCATTTTACCTTTTCGCACGACTTAAAGGTGAATTTGAAAGACATTTGAAAGCGCAGTTTCTGCATGTTACAGAATAAGAAATGATAAAATTTGATAAATTAACCGAAATATTTTAAGATATGTTGCCACTTTAAGAATTTATTGGAGATAATATTGCTATATATTATTTTATTTTAGAGATTATGCACTATAAATAATCATAATTGAAGGGAAAATGTGTACAGTATTTTTGAATTTAACAATTTGAAAGGAAAATATAATGAAATCACCGAAAATTTCCTAAAAAAAGAGTGTAAATAAATAAGTTTATTTAATGGAATAATTTAAAGCTATCCATTTGAGCCAGACGTTACTTCAAATTCCGCAACATACAAAGTTGAATTACTTTTTTTCATTCTTTAATGTTTTACATTTGCCTTTCTGAAAATTCAAAGATTTTGATGAATGCAAATTTAAAATAATACAATAATAGTTTTCTTTAACAAGAAAATTATAACAAAATCTTAACATACAATGAAAATAAAAGCACTTTAACACTGCTATCAAGCATTCTTGATTTTAATCATTCTTACATTTAATTTAACATTCCTTGAGTCAATGTGTAAAATTCCATTAATCATTATTCCTAATGATATATTTCATGTTTATATAAAATCTGTTCCGCAATTTCATTGAAACCACATAGCAAATTCACGGGTATTCTTTTTTCTACCGAAATTAAAATGGTGCATTCAATCTTGTCCGCCGCAGGATTCGAACCTGCGCCTACCGAAGTAGATTGCGACCTGAACGCAACGCCTTAGACCGCTCGGCCAGACGGACCCGAATGTATTCTCTTACAATTCTCAATTTAATTTACGAAATTTTTTAAAGTTTGCAATACTTCTACAACATTTAGTATTGTAAAAAACATCCAAAGACTGTTTTTCTGTCATGAAATATCATCAAAATTAAAATTTCTCTTCGATTTAAAATATCCGAAATTGAAATTTCCCCTTCAATTTAAAATATTATTGCAATTAAAATATCATGTGAGTCAAATCAGATAACATGAGCATACCATATTTTAAAATAACATACAAATATTTATGAATTAGTGAAAAGATCATAGATAATATAATAAAGATTGGTGAAACAAGAAGAAAACGTACTGTACAATTCCTAATATTAGCATTATTTGTAAATGAATAGTATTAATAATTTTTTTTTAATTTTACATATGTTTGTTTTAATATTATTTATACATGAATTTCAACGAATATATAAGTGATAGATCAAATTTGAATATTTGCTTATTTGCAATGCATAGCTTACATGAATATCAAAATATTTAATAATTCAATGTAATGTATTCAGATTTTCCTCAATTAATGCTCAAATTTATTCAATTTCAGTGCTGTTGTCTTCAGCAAATGCAGTATTTAAGCATTTTTGTGAGCAATATCGCCGTTGTCGATGACTTTTAAATTGGCCAATTTGTTGTTCCAACATGCCACAATAGAAGCATAAGGAATATCCCAGCCGTTGTTTGTCTTTAATGAAACGATCACCAAAGATTACCATCGATCCTTTTGGACGCCATACATTGATAATATGCCGATCAAAATCGGTCATTACCCATGTTCGATTCCCTAAAAATAAATAAATATCTTTTTTTTAAAGCTACAAACATTCAACTTTATTCCTATTTTAAGACTTTTTTTATTTATTAATGTTATCAAAATTGTTTAATTCATTATCTTAGTTCATTTTTTAGTGATAAATTGACATATGATATATGTGACCGATTAATTGTTGGTACCTAAAATATCCATAATGTTTGTTGTCAATTTCTTCTAGTCAATTAAACAGATTAACTAGAATGCTTTTTATTTGGTTGGAAGTATCAGTAGACACATTTTAGTAAGCTAAAAAATAAAACTACTCTCCTGGTTTCCACAATGCCCTTAAGATTTCTAAGAGTCTAAACATCTTTAATCCTATGTCGAGATTGTATCGATAGTTTGTTATAATATGAGATTGCCCAGTAACTTATCAAGCATAGAAAGAAATAAGCTAGATAGGCTTCGTATTAATTTAAATAGCAATTAAAGTTTCCGCTTCCTTTCTTTCATCAATTGCTCATTTCTCCACCCTCTTTGGAAATGTAATGCCATTTGGAAGAAAGAATTTATTAAATGTGCGCTTCGACTCTATTAAATCGTCCGGAACTGAAATGTTTACTAAATTAATAGTACAAATTTATTTTTAGATTCGTTCTATTTAAAACATCTTTAACAAAAGCACGATTAGACGTGATATGAAATGGTCGAAAATGTTGCCAACGACAAAGTGTGATAGCTCTTACAGAATGAATTATTATTGAATTCATTAGATGACAGATTTAAACACCTGTGACAAATTGAATTACATCTGAATTTATTTTCCGCATCATAATGAAATAAGATACATTTCGTGATGCGTTGTTTGAAAACTGGGTCAAAAGTTTTTTGTTTTCGATTGATTTAAACAAAAAAAAAACTATAAGATTAGCTCAAAAGCTTTTTTAAATTAATTTCAACAAAAGCACTGTCAGATGTAACACTAGATGACAAAAATTTTGTCAGTGATAAGATACGTTCATTCTGATAAATATTATTGACAAAAATTGATGTCCCTTCACAAAATGATGAAAAAAGAAAAATCGAAGATTATTTTAGAATAAAAATCGAATTAAAATTAAGCAAGCCTCATGCATAATTAATATGATATTGAAACATTTTTAAATTCGA